TTTAGCTATATACACTTGGAAAAATTCTTGAACTTCTCTAAACCTCAACTCTGATCTGTAAAGTGAAAATAATAAGAGCATTCCTTTTATGGGCTGCTATAGGTTAAAAAGTTAGTTTTTGGGCTGGCTCCATGGCCTGGTGTTATTAAGGCAGCTAGATACCACATGGCAGACTGTGTTGCTTGAGTCCTGGACCACGGCTTGAGTGATACACTATGTGGTGCAAGCCCAAAATCCTGAAAGGAGAAAGAAGCAGAGAAGAGATTGCAGCATGACCATTCACCATGGAAATCCTTTTTCCTCTTCTTAGGTCTCTCATACTGACAAGTGTATGTATGTCATCTACCAAAAGAAGACAGTAAAAGGAAAAATAAAGTTAGTGGGGCCAGCAGGTAGCATGATGGTTAAGGCGTTGGACTCCCAAATGGCAGATTGTGAGGTTCAAATCCTGGACTTGGCGGTTTTCTTTCTCACTTTCCCTCCCTCTCTCGCTCGCTCACTTGCTCTCTTTCGCTCTCTCGCTTGCTCTCTGGTGAGCACACATGGGGCATAGCAAATTAAAAGAATATATCTTTAAAAAAATAAAGTCGACGGGACCAGCAGTTAGTGTAATGGCTATGTTGCTGGACTCCCATGTAGTTGACCGCGGTTCGAGTCCCAGACCCGGTGGCTTAAACCCACGGGGCACATTTGCGTGAGTGCCCAAGATCCCGAGAGGAGAATGGAGGAGAAGCGATTGCTGCGTGGCCATCCCCGTAGGGGGTGATTTCTCGCCTTCTGTCTCCCTGTGTCTCTGTCATTCTGGCGAGCACACACACCCTATATAAACCTTAACTGTTTATTCAATTTTACCTATCACTTTTAAAATTTGCTACAGGGCATGCGTGCTCACCAGGCAGAGACGAGGATAGAGAGAGAGAATGAGGTGTTTTTTGTATTTTTTTTTTTGAGAGGTTTTCACTATAGGGCGTGTGCACTCACCAGACAGAGAGAGACATAGAGACAGAAAGCGAGAAATCATCCCCCAGGGGGGATGGTCACGCCACAATCCCTTCTCCTCCATTCTCCTCTCAGGATCTTGGGCACGCACGCACACGCGTCCGGCGTGAGTTTTAAGCCACCGGGTCTGGGACGCGAACTGCGGTCGACTACGTGGGAGTCCAGCGACATAGCCATTACGCTAACTGCTGGTTCCCGAGAGAGAGAATGAGGGAAAGTGAGTAAAGCAAGCCACTGAATCTGGGACTTGAATCGCAGTTGGCCACATGAGAGTCCGGTACCTCAACCACCATGGTACCTGCTGGCCCCAGCCTTTTTTTTCTTTTCTGGAGAGATATTTTTGCTATAGGGCACAGGTGCTCACCATAGAAGATGACCATACCTCAGTCTTTTCTCCTCCATTCTCCTCTCAGGATTTTGGGCACGCATGCACATGTGCTCAGTGTGAATTTCAAACTGCTGGGTCTGGGACTTGAACTGTAGTTGGCCATGTGAGAGTCCAGTAATGCAACCACTATGCCATCTGCTAGTCTCAATAAAGTGACTTTTAATAATAGATTTTATTACGTTGTGTATAGATCCAAAGAACATGAATCTTAAAAGGTGAATAGAATGATAATCTAGGTAAATGAGGTTATCTTCTAGAAGCAAATAAATTTAATTATTTGGTTCTCATCAGCAAGTTGAGCTTGTAGTAGATTAAAATTTTAATGGTGCTGGCAGGTGATATGGTGGTTAAGGGTGCTGGACTCCCACATGGCCAATCGCGGTTCAAGTTCCACTTGGACGACCATGGTTTGAGTCCTGGAACTGGCGGCTTGGATTCTCACTTTTCTTCTCTCTCTCTCTCTCACTCTCATTCTGTCCCTCTGTGGTCAAATAAAAATAAATAAAGTTAAATAATAAAAGCAATTATGAAAAAAACTTTATTAATGAGAATGGTTAGAAGATGAAGTACTCTGATTAATTTAGGGATATAAATTGTAACCACTGTCTTCTAGTTATTGTTAAACGTATTTCAAAGATTATCCTGTTTTTCTTTTGAAAAGTACTGCATCCTGGAAAGAGAATGTGATGATTGTTTGGTAATTGATACATTTTACCATTTTATTGGGATTCTTTATGAATATTTGCTTTGACTGTTTATTGCTAATTAACTGTGTGTCTTTGAGGTATCACTTCTCTAGTCTTTAGTTTCCTCATTTCTAAAGTTAGTGTCTTAGACCAGATAGGTAGTTTCCAGGATTCCTGTACATATTTTAGTCCATGTTGAAATATCATATCAACTTGTAGTCAGATGATGCATTTTTTTTACAACACAAATACATTTTTATTCATTTATATTTCATTATTTTAAAATCCTTGAGGGGTACAGCATCACACGGATTCTGTGTCCAATGGCCTTAGTAGGAAGGTTGCTTCGGAATTTGGCTCGAACCATGCCACTGTTTCCATGGGCGTGGGTAACCTTTCCCCAGATTACTCTGGTTTTATTTGGTTTGCCACCAGGAGTCACTGTATTGTTTTTTGCTTTGTAAACATAAGCACACCTCTTGCCTAAATAGAACTCCATTTCATCTCATGCATAAACACCTTCAATTTTAAGAAAAGCTGTGTGCTCCTTTTGGTTCCTGAGACCCCTCTTATAACCAGCACAAATGGCCTTGGACCACTGCCTTCCAGACATAGTTGCCTTTTAGAAGTCCTATTCCCAGCAGGCCTTCACAGGCTCCAAGATGGCGGAAAGAGATAATATATATTTTGATGTGAAAGTTTTTAGTTTTAGAAGTGTGTTATTTTGCATCTATACTTCCTTACTGTTTAGTTATGCTTTCCCCTAGCTGATGAGAGTGTAGACCAAATACAATGTTGAAATTGACTGAAATCCAGATTTTTAGTCTGTTTGATAAACTGTTTGCTTTTTCCATCTTTTTCTAATTTACTTGCCCCGAGAAGGACACGTTTCCCAGTTTTTAACAAAATGACCTGTGTATGTCAGCAGATACTTACTCTGTGCATTAATGTACCATTAAGAACATTGCACAGTGTTTTTTTTGTAGCAGAGTTTTATAGTAGATAATGAATACCTTTAGGCAGATTGTTGCAGTGAGCAAATAAATGCTTCTTTATTTTTAAATTTTTTGGAGAGATTTTTGCTATAGGGTGTGTGCGCTCCTCAGAAAGAGAGAGACAGACAGCGAGAAATCACCCCCCAGGGGGATGGCCACACCACAACTCCTTCTCCTCTATTCTCTCAGGATCTTGGGCATGCATGCACACGCGCCTGGTGTGAGTTAAAGCCACTGGGTCCGGGGCTTGAACCTTGGTCGACTACATGGGAGTCCAGCAATGTAGCCATTATGCCATCTGCTGGTCCTGAGCAAAAGCTTCTTAACAAAAGTGATTTCTTTGTATGTTTTAAAAGAGAAGTGAAAGTTGGCCATACAAATATAGGATGATGGAGATGGGAATGGTATTCCAGATAGAGAATAGTTTATGTAGAGGGACAAAGCAGTGATCTCGAATAGTCCAGTGACTCTCAAAGTGTGGTTCTTGCACCTGTGGTGTCAGCATTACCTGGAAACTTGTAAGATGTATACATTGACCCCACCTAGGCCTGCCAACTCAAATTCTGGGAGTGGAGACCAATACTGTTTGTTTTAATAGGTCATTCAGATAATTCTGATGCTGGCTGAAGTTTGAGAACCACCACTACAGCCTACCTCTTCTAGAAGTATTACTTTAGTGTTTGGAGCATGGGATGCCTGTAGAGCAGTGATTAAAATACAGATCTGTAAGCAGGACAAGAGTGGTTAGTGGTGTCAAACTAGAGTTTGTACTTCATCCTTACACCAGTACAGTAGAATCAACTGAGAGGTTTAAAACTATACCAACATTTGCGATCCACCCCATACTAACTGAAGCAAATCTCTGAGTATTGTGAATTATATAATTGATAGGACTTGGTTATTGATTATAATAGTGTATATATTTATTGAGAATATGTCAAATACTGTGTCAAGTAGCATACATACACAGTAACAGATAACATAGCAATCTTATGTAGGTAGTAGTCCCATTTCACAGTGAATAGAGAGGTTAAGTACCTTTTTTCCAAGGTGTTTAACTAGAACCTTACATAGCTAGAAAATGATGAATTTGAGTCCAAGTACCTTACATAGCTAGGAAGTGATGAGTTTGAGACCAAGTTTTTGCGACTCCAAAGTCCAATCTTTTTGTTTGTTTGTTTGTTTTGTTTGTTTTTAAAACAAGCTCTGGCAAGTTTTACTAAAAAAAAATAAAATGTTGCATGATTTACTTTTCTCCAGTCTGTTTGGGCATACTTCTGATGATATCGGAATCACCTATATCAATGATAGGTAGTGTGCATGTTCTGTAGTATTTTCCACCTGCTGTGCCCAATTCAATATTTCCACTGTAGTGAGGGACACCAGTTTTGGCCAACATGGCATAGTACTCTATTTCAGATTTCCTCAAAGCTGGGCAGTTGTTGATGAGGATGACCAACTTTGCTTTGCCCAGTCTGACCATCTTAAGAGTCTGCTTGTATCCCAGGACGTACTTACCACTTTTCAGAACAAATTGGAGCTGAGAGTTGATTGACTCCAGTGACTTTTTTGTCTTTTTTGCGGCCACCATCTTCCTGCCATAGGTGCGGGACAGCCTCCAACTGAGAGCATCTGCCAAGATGGCCAGGGAGCAAGAAAGGTAAAGTCCAGTCTTGTGAACAATTAAACAAAACAAAACAAAAACCTGGGATTGATGTGTTTGGATTGGAAAACAGTTTCTTTATTTTTTTTAAACTTCTAACTGACATTTAGAATTTCTTTCAGTTTTAAATATAGACAACAATCACAGTTTTATTAACAATATCTGATTTGCCACCAACAGAAATCAAAAATATTTTAATACTATTTTGTAGATGTTGTAGATATCTCAAAATATTATTCTTTTTAATCAGTATTTCAAAATTAGGCTAATTTTAGATCCTCTCCTAGATCTTTTTACTATAGTAAAAGAAACATTACAGTATCAAAAGTTGACTTTTTAAAGAGAGATTTCTGCTATAGAGTGTGTGTGCTCGCCAGAGAGAGAGACAGAGAGCAAGAAATCACCCCCCAGGAGGGATGGTCATGCTACAATCCCTTCTCCTCCATTCTCTTGGGATTTTGGACACATAGACACATGTGTGCCCCATGTGAGTTTTAATCTGCTAGGCTTGGGACTTGAACTATAGTCGACTATGTGGGAGTTTAGTGACATAACCATTATGTCATTTGCTTGTCCCCTTCACAAATTTACTTTTAAAATATATCAATAACTGTATTTGAGTATAATTTTCTTGTAAGCCTGGTGCCATTTACTGAGTTGAGTGGCTAGCTTGATGTATGGTATGGTAGACAGAAATTTAAAAAACCTATATGTTTGGTAATTCCTCACAATAGAAATTGTTACAGAAAAGATAGTTTCTCTTGCTTTCCTACTCTTTTATTTGGCTTGTTAAATAGAGGTATAATCTAAGTTCTTTGTTACGTGTCATAGTTACCAGATTAAAAAAATACTTTAGATTTATCATGCTTTTTTCCTAAGTGCTTCCTGAAAAAATCAGGGAAGAAGATAATGTGTTATCTCATGAGGCATTTCGTCCTTTAGTCGGATAATAGTGCTGCTGTCCAGTAGAACTTTCTTCATTGATGGAAATGTTTTATATATGTGCTGTATAACATCATAACTATTAACCACAATGATGCAAAGAAATAAAATAATGTAGTCAGCAGCAATGTGATGTTACATAAGGGGTTTTAAAATTGTTTACAGAAAGTATGTATTATGAAAAATATTATGCATGAGTTTCAGAATTTTTGCACCAAAATAAACTTGTACTTAATTCCATTTTTCCACAATTTTTTTAAAATTTTGTTTTGTTTTTAATTTGCCTGAGTGCACATACACTCACCAGAAGGACAGAAAGAGGGAGAGGAAGAAGCACTCCCCCAATTGGGGAAGGGGTAGTCATGCTGCAATTTCTTATCCTCCATTTCTCCATCCTATTGGGAATTTGGGCACACATACACATGCACCTGGAGTGTTTTTCAAGCTATTGGGGCTGGAGTTTGAACTGTGGCTGACCATGTGGGATCTGGCTCCTTTAACCACTATGCTATGGGATTGATCCCTTCTACAAACTTCAGAAGTCATCTTGTAACGTTAACAGTACTACTTTTGTGCCAAGTACTATTCTAAATGATACATACACACACGTGTGTGTGTGTGTGTGTGTGTATGCATATATATATAGCTATATAGGCATACAATTGTTTTAATTGTTATAGTAATTCTGTGTGGTGGTTACTACTGGTAAGAGTCATTTTACAAATAAGGAAACAGGCACAGAGCAGTTAAGTGACTTTCCAAAGGTCATATAACTAGTTATTAGCAGCTCTGGGATTCTGTCCTGGCAGTTTGGCTTCTTTTGGACTCCCTCTAGTAATATATTACTTTGTCATTTTTCTCAGACCCTCAATTGTATATATGGACTGTTCTTAGAAACTGGATACTAAAAAGAATTTAAGATAATTTTGTTCTAATTATTATGTAAAAAGTACAGTATTTTATAGTACGTTTTGTTGTATGATTCTAATTACGGACTCAGTTTGCTGTTGGTTGACTCTCTTGAACAGCGTGGGTTTGAACCATGTAGGTCCACTTATACATGGATTTTTGTTTTAACTTATCACCAAAATATGGTCACTTTTTAAAAAATTAGAGATTTTCCCCTCAAAGCAAAGAAATAAACAAACCTAGTACCTGTGCTTTCTCAAACTGCAATCTTGATTCTAGGATTCGTTCTGTCTCTGAATTAGCTTTCTGGAAATCCAATGGTTGTGAATGGGTTGAGGTTCCTTACTGCCTCTCCTGAGTTTTAGGGATGGATTTTGTAGGCTTTTATGCTGTTCCAGAGGTGCCCAGCCTTGATGCTATGCCTCTGATCCTGAGTGAGCTTGGCTTGTTGATTCTTGTGCTCTTGGTAGCTCCCTCAGGCTCCTTTCCTTGTTGTTTGCCCTGGATGATGGTCAATCATTACTTAGAGCTCTTTGATTGTAGGGGTGGTCCTTGCCATCCTCCATTGCTGTGGAGACATTGTGAACTTGAGTAGTTATGGGTCTGATCTTCATCTATCTCTGGGGATATCTGGTCACTAATTGTGAGGATGGCAGGGGTGGGGTGGCTCCTCCAAATCTGCTCTTCCACCTGGGAGTCAAGGCGCAGCTCCAGCAGCAGGGCCATAAACTGGAACTTGATTTCTTCATTGCTGGAGAGGTGACCTGTGGGCTGGAGCAGACATACTCTCTCTTCTCTCCTTTGTCCTGGCTGGAATAGGTTATTAATAGTGAAATATCTTGGGAGTCAAAAATTATTCGTGAGGCCCAGCCATGGTGACACATACTGCTAAGACTGCTCCACAGACTGGGACCACATGAAAGTCAGGTCAGATTCCTAGACCAACCTAAAGACTGGCTACTGTGGCACATGCCTGTAGTCCCAGCTGCTTAGGAGACTGAGTCAGGAGGATTGTATCACAGGGAGAGCCTATCTAAAAAAAAAAAAAAAAAAGCTGTAAGTGTATTTTTGACCACTTGGTACCCTGACCCCATCATTGTTAAAGGGTCAGCTGTATCTTAATTCCTGTAAGTAAACTCAGATGTAATAGGTATTTTTTTTTCTTTTTTTTGGAGAGATTTTTGCTGTAGGGTGCGTGCTCTCGCCAGACAGACAGAGAGGGACAGAGAGACAGAGAGACAGAAAGTGAGAAATCATCCCCCAGGGGAGATGGTCACGCCACAATCCTTTCTCCTCTATTCTCCTCTTGGGATCTTGGGCATGCACGCGCACGTGCCCGGCGTGAGTTTAAGCCACTGGGTCCGGGACTCGAACCACGGTCTCCTCCGTGGGAGTCCAGTGACATAGCCATTATACTAACTGCTGGTCCCAGTAATAGGTATTTTTTAAAGTAACACTGATAGTATTAAATAATGTCAAACTTCCTCCCAAATTTAAATTTAGGTTCTGAAATTGAATAATAGTATAATTATTTTGCTTTTTAAAATAAATTAAAAGGAATTCCAAGGTCATTTTGTGAAGAGTTGGCTTTGGTTCCTGGATTTAGGCTTTCTGTCATCAACATAATTGAATAACCAATTTTGCTACATCTAGTTTAGTGTGTTTCTGGAGGCCCAGAAGGGGAAAAGCATATCTTAGATACAGAGTTCTATTCTTAACCATATTCAAGGCAGGCTGGTGGTGGTAGAACGAGATTAAAAAGGACAAGAGAACTGTCATTCTTGAATATCTGTTATTGGCATAGTGCTTGGTGCTTTAAATACATAGCCGTCATTTCTTGAATATGAGCAGTTTATTAAACCCTTCAAGTACTTTAGACTCATTACATATGTCATTTAATTTGCACAGCGCCTTCTCGACAACATAGTGATGCCAGAGATATTTTATAGATAAAGGCTTTGGTAGACTTCATTTTCCCTTCCCTTCCTGTTTAAATAAAGAGTAAATGATCGTAAATATAGGTGGGGAATCAGATGGGGGAGGTGTTGTGTTTATCACTCATGCCAGCTCACCTATTATGCTTTTCAAAGTTTGTCCTCATGTGAGAGAGTCAGTAATCTTATAAACAAATTATCCTACTATGATAAGTGTTAAAAAGAGAAAAAAATGAGGTATTATGATAGATAATAACGAAGTACATACATTATATAGGGAGAATCAGGAAAGACATCTCCAAGTATGTGAACATTTTTTTTTACATTTATAATTTCTTAAATACATTAAGTTGTAATACATCTTTGTGGGATACAATATAGTTTTTCTTTTTTTTTCTTTTTTTTCATTTTTTTTTAAGAATTATTTTATTTAACTTTATTTACTATTATCATTATTATTTTCCAGTTTGATCAGAGAGAGACAGAGAGAGAGAGAGGAAGTGAAAAAGCAAGCCACCAGGTCTGAGACTTGAACTGTGGTAGGCTATGTGGGTGTCCAGTGCCTTTAACCACCATGCCACTTGCCAGCCCCACAATATCGTTTTTCAAAGCAGGCACGCAGCGTATTATAGTCCAATCAAGGATATCACCATATTAGCCAACTTTAAGAAAGAACATTATATTGTGCACATTGGGTTTTTTTTTTTTTTTAAGAGGTTTTCACTATAGGGCACGTGCACTTGCCAGACAGAGAGAGATATAGAGACAGAAAGCGAGAAATCACCCCCTAGAGGGGATGGTCACGCCGCAATCCCTTCTCCTCCATTCTCCTCTTGGGATCTTGGGCACGTACGCACACGCGCCCGGCGTGAATTTTAAGCCACCGGGTCTAGGACGCGAACCACGGTCGACTACGTGGGAGTCCACCAACATAGCCATTACACTAACTGCTGGTTCCCGTTTTTTTTTTTTTCTATAGGGCGTGTGTTCACCGGACACACACACACACACACACACACACACACACACAGGCACACAGGCACACACGAGGTTGGGGGAGGGGTGCAAGAAATTACCACAATAGCGGGATAGATAGCCACACCACAGTCCCTTCTCCACTCTCTTCTTGGGATTTATGGTGTG